CTGCTAATGCTGGCGTGCTTCCCCCATAGGTAGGCAGGGTTGAGCTGCAGAGGTTAATTCCAAATGTGTACCCATATTTTTCCTCAGTTATTGAGAGTTCACTTTCTAGTTTCTGTGGCTGCAGCCACAGGATCAGCCCGACGTCTATTTGAAGCCAGGTTCGCGTGGCAGACTTTGCATCTTTGCTTTTTAACGAATCTTTGCTCCACTGACAACTTCCAAGGGACACTAGGAGACAGGGTGACAGACAAAAGCTTTCACAACTGTCAAAGAAATCATTGGTTTAGGGCTGGTTTTAAAAAACAGTATGTTTTGAGTCCTTTATGCTTTTGAAGCTTTTTTTCTAAGAAAAAGGGTAAGTGTGCACTTATGTGTGTGGTTTTCAGATACAGTAAGATGCTCACCCAATTGCGTGAATCCAGGAGCTGGGGTGCTACAAAACCCCAACAAACAGCCCACAATAAAAACACTCAAGGGTTTTTTTCCATTTCTGCTTTGGTTTCAACACCCTCCTGACCCAACACTTCCTCTCGGAGTGCTCCTTGATGCACCTCCCTAATTTGACTAAATATGGAGCCTCGGGATCCTTGTCTAAAGAGATTTTCTCTTTGTGGAGAAGGCAACGACAGGAGAGCAGATGTCTGTCTTGACATTACTGCCGGAGTCTTGTTTTTCTAGACTGTTCTAAACTGTTAAGGTACTAAAATTGTATTACAAATATTCTTTGTTAAGGATAAGAAAGAGAAAGCACACACAGAAAGTGAACTCGATACGCTGAGCAAACCTTTGGGTTGATGCAAGGATGTCTACTGATCTACAAACATACGTGGACACATAGTACTGCGCAAAAACTTTACTTCCAATAAGCCATGTAGAAGTGAAAGACGATCCTGTTTTATGTGAGGTCTGTGAGAAAGTAATTTCAAACTCAACGTTTAAGCCAGTCGGTCGTTAACTGCTGACTACAACAATCTGAAGTCATGAGATGCCAACAGCCGGCGGAATTTAAAAGGGTGGCTGCAACCTACTCAGCTAATGGCGAATCTTTCATCTTCCTAGCCACACACAGCATGCCACCACCTTAAAAATGTAACGACTGTCCCAGCTTCTTCATTGTGCATAATAATTCCTTCTTTGTAAAACATTCAGAGGGCTTCAGAAGGCTGAAGCTCCAGCAAAGGAGAAGGATGAGTAGATGCTGTATGTGCACATGACAAGGCAGAGAAGCAGGAGAGGAAGAGGCGAGGAAACCCTACTTCCATTTTCACACATAACCTATTGAAAATTTACTTGACTTCCTCAGTTAATTCATCTTCTTCCAGCAACTTTAATCCTTAAATGGTTATTGTTAAAAAGAAGTTTGCATTCCCTCAAAAGACAAGAGAAAAAGAAAATGACTTTGTCATATCTGACTGGTTCAGAAAATACAAAATCCAATTCTGAGGGAGTGCAGATAAGGGAAGAGCTATGGAAGAGCCATCAGCTTAGCAAACACTAAATAATGAAGAATGCAGAGACTGCCCGGCATGATAAAACACTCTATTAGCAAGACTGTTTTTAAATGAGTGATAATTGTGGCACATCCGCAGCAAAAGGTTATTGAATTTTTATCTCTAGGAAGGGGCCTTTTGACAGTGTAACCAAAAAAGCCACCAACAGGTAGCCCCCTTTTTAGGATTTCCCAAAACGTGTCCACACCTGCCCAACTCTAGCTTGTGGTTTCTGAATACTTACAGCTATGCCTATACATTGCCCAACTGCAGCCAAGGAAGCTTTGCTGGAAAAGCTCCTGACTTTCTACAAGGAAGGAATATGGGGCCACCATGAGCATATCACGAACTCCTTGGAGATTACGGTATTTCTTGCTTTGCATCAAAAATTCTGGTTCCAATCACTGACTGAGCGCTTGGCGATGCCCTGAATGGGTCTAAGATTTAATCTCAAGTAGCTGGGACAGAAAAGAGAAACAATCGAAGACCAGGACGTGTTCTCATCATGCACTGGCCCAACATGTGGTAAGCACAGAAGACAGAACCCCACCACTGCTACCAGTTAATGAGATTACGGCTCTTGTTCAAGCATGGACACTTTGATGTAGCATCTAGTCCAAGGAGAAAAATAAAGCAGAAGACAGAGCTGCTTGAAGGAATAAAACACCTGCCCAAAGTCAGCTGCCACAGAAGAAAGCTGGGTGATGAACGGCCCGTTGGCTTGTGTATGACGAAACACGGACTCCAGTTGCATTGAACTGGAACGCTTGGGTTTCGTCTTTAAAGTTAATGATGCTGAAATGACAAAGCTGGCTGCACTTACGGCAATCCGAGTCTGAACGTGGTGAGCTTCAGCACGTGGCAGAAAACCTCGTTATTTAGCTTTACTTTCGGTCAGTTATTTGCCCTCCTCCCTCCCCCCGACGCTCATTAACATGCTGCAGCTTCCAGCAATGAGACGCTCAGAAATTCAGATGATCAAACCACGACAGAAAAGAACAGAGTAACTCGGATGACAGTTGAGCGTTATGGCATTAACATTGTATGAATCTTTGAAACAATAGATGATAGTTTTAATTTTTCCTCCTCTCAGCTCAGTCCGAGCTCATTTGCGTCGCTGTTCTCCTCCTGTCCAGGTGGGATAGAAAGAGACATCTCATCTCATTTTCCCTCTGTTGTTTACTCTTTGTATTCTTCCCCCCTAAAAATGCACTCCCCTGTATATCACTGCACCTTCCCGGATTTGTAAATACATCTGACTTAAAACCACCTCCTCTGCCCCACGGCATCACTTTTTACTTCTCCCATACAGACTGCAGTCAGCTCTATTGATGTTCCATTTATGAGATATACTCCACCAGGTTTCATTTATAACCATGAGGTCAACAGCCTCTATCATTTTCTTCCTCTTGTTTCAGATACTCCTGGCATTTGTGTACAGACATTTTAGTGCATCGGTATAAAGTTATTACAAAGGAAGATGAATTTTTATTGTCAGGAGGACGCTGCCAAGTGAAATATTACACTTCGTACTTTTATGTTTATTCACTGCTGCGTGTAACGTCCTCTCAGAAGCCTGAAAGTCACGCTCATGCCCTTTTATGTTGGGGAAATATTGATTTATTAAAAAATTTGAGTTTCAACCAGAACTGGAATTACAAATGATGTTTTTATTTTTAACAACTTTGACTGTCAGAGCACAGCTCCTCAGCCCCAAGAACTCCCCCAGTAACTACAGTTCTGTGAGCAAACATTTGGCTGCTGAACTTTGATAGCATTTTCCATTGGGTTTTGTTTTCTTTTCTTTCTTTTTTTTTTTTTTTTTTTTTTTTTTTTTTTTTTTTTTTTTTTTTTTTTTTTTTTTTATAATCTTCTAAAGTACACCCTGTGAGAGCACAGCAATTCTCCTTGTCACTCAGGTACTGAGAACCCAAAGCATGATTACGGGAATATCAAAGCTACCTGTAGTATTTTGGGTCTTTAATTATTAGCTAATTGTATAATCTTAATTATCCTTCTGCATCCCAACAAAATGATCGTGAACAGCCGCAGTAAAGAGTTTAAAGGTTCTGCTCTAGAGCAGAGTTATAAGCCATAGGAAGGTTTGGCAGTCAACCAGAGATGCTCTGCTATCGAGGGGCAATTATTTTAACGGAGATACAACACTACGACTTTATTTAGCACCAGCAAATTTCCCCCATCGCTTCCCCAGAGGTGATTTTCAGTGCCCAATTCCCAGGGGAGCTCAGAAGATCTGGCTGCCCCCAGTCCTGTTCCTCTGTGGGTACCTTCCCAGGGGACTCCGCTCCGTATTTGTGGGACAAACTGCCGAAACGCCGCGTATCCTCCCTGCCTCCCAACGTGTCCCGGGATCCCACCAAGCTGTGTGGGTTCTTTTTATGCAACGCTTTCCTTCTCCTCTTCTCCTCATCTACAGCATAGTGGAGATGCCTCCTTCCAAAGCAGCGGCATTTAATATAACCCCTAGACAACAGGGGACGTTCGGTATTTGTAAAACACCCGATATTTTATTACAGGGATCTAGGGCAATATGAAGTGCTCTACCAAATGCATGGCCACCTCTCCAGGGGACAACCTGTGACACAAGGACAGTTACTGGGAATGTCTCGGTAGGCAGGTGAGACCAAAACCCCAGGTCCTAGGAAAAGCTTAACCCCGCGTCAGCTGAGCTATAGGTGACTCCTGGCGAGTTAATAACAGTGGGAAGGTGATGGTGGAAAGCAGCAGAGCTGAGCTCTACTTCTGGGGCTCAGCCACAACCTTCCTCTGACCGTGACCCTGTGCAAACAACTCCAATGACCACCACAAGAAGAGAAGCAACACTAATCATGTCTCTAGCACTTTCCAGACATAAAGAAATAAATAATTAAATCACTATTCCCAGGGGGAAGGAGCGAAAGCTGAAGCACAAAGAAGTTGAAATGATCTCACAGAGGTAGCGTGGACAATCCTTGACAGCCAGGAGCAGAAGTGGACTCTCCAGGCTGCCCTGTCTCTGCCCTCCCCGCACCTCAAGTTCACCAAGGGTTGCTTCTGCCTTTGCAGGCTGACCATCAGTGCCCCAGTGATGAGCACGTTAGGGCGTTCCTCATTAAGACCTGTTCCATTTCTCTACTGAATTCATAATACACATAGATTTTTAAAAATTCGGTGATCTAATCATGCTTTAAAGAAAATGAAACCTGGCTTGGCACTGATACCTGCTCTTGTGCAACGTCATAAGCAGGGACTGCTGAAAAGTTCAAGCGTTGAAAGACCCTTCAGAGCTTATGCTAGAAGGGATGCTTCTGGCACCCTCACCTGGTGTCCACCAAAGCCTGAGCAGATATCACACCAGGAAGAAAGGGATGGAGCTGCTTTGCTTTCCACTTCCCTCTGACATAAACCCGCTTTGAAATCAAGAACAAAAGATGCCCACTCTTGCTAAAACCACATATTTATGCCGGTTTCCATTTCTAAGACAAAGGTTCTCCGATGGGAGCTACTTACTCTGAGTGGTGGAGAGGTTGGAGAGGGCTGCCTTGGTGCGACCTGCTAACCACTCCAGGCTCTCGTGCATGTTGGCCAAGGCCTTCAGGTCACTGACATCCCGCAGGATCTCCTGTTGAGGGATGAGTTTATCTCCCAGGTTGCCAATGAGAACTTCTGACTCTTTGCCGAAAGCAGCCCTGAAACGCAAACCAAAGCCACGCTCAGAAACACAGCACAGGACAGCAAAGGGGAGACACCAGTTACACCATGGAGAAGGTCAACCCAGCCAACGGAGAACTATTCCAGCATGAGGTCTCAATAATGTTGTCTGGTGGAGTTTTTGAAGTCTCATTTCAGTTATTGACACCTCTATCTCAAGGAGGGTTTTTTTTCTGTGCTTCTCTCTGCATTTACAACTTCTGAATATCACCTCACAGTTACAAACTTCATCCCAATCAACTTCCGCACCTCTTCCCCCAACCCAGCATCGACACCTTGCTGAGACACGCACCCTCCCAGTGAGCTTTTTCCTCGGCGTTATTTGCCGCGGGGATAATTGACACTAATTTCTTGGCAGAGAAAAGGGAGAGGAGCAGTTAAGTGAACGTAAAGCTGCTGCCAAGGGTACATCAGAGACCTCCTCCCTCGTTCTGCGGTATTGATGTGGACACTTGGCTGCCGTTCAGCCCTGCTCTGGCACGGTCAGAGTACCTTCAAAGTAGCACAGGTCATCCTGATTTATCCCACGTGCTCTTCACTGACCTCTCTTCCCTCACGTATGAGTTTCCCGTCCTCTCATGTATATGCCGACATACGGATGAGGGGAAGCCTCGTCTATTGCCATCAGTCCCTCTGTTTCCAGGCAGTTAAGCTCAATAGGTTGTTTAATTTTATTACCAGCTCATCTCTCAAAAACATCACCGGTGCTTTTGGTTGCTGGAGGGGAGGAGGGGCAAGCCGATCTGCCTGCAGAAGGCTGCTTTGGGGAACCAGGACCATCGGCCTCTCCCCATCCCTGCTGGTACCATGCCAAGGATGCGCTATGCATCCTATACAGCATCCGCGAGAACAGGGTGGGAGTAAAGACGACGCATTGGTGGTCCCTGTGTTTCACAGACTTTGCAGAGGTGGAAGGGACCTCTAGAGATCATCTAGTCCAACTCCCCTGCTAAAGCAGGATTGCCTGGAGCACATCACTCAGGACTGCATCCAGGCGGGTCTTGAAAATCTCCAGAGAAGAGGACTCCACACCCTCCCTGGGCAGCCTGTTCCACCACTTCCCTGGGGAGGTTATTCCAATGCTTTCCATGTCTCCCTGGGATATGTATAACTAACACACATGAAGTACTTTTAATCTTTCCTTGTAAATCAGCTCTTCCAATCCCTGATTCACTTTTTTTTCCAGATGTTTATCACAAGAAACCTCCTGTGGAACCTGATGGCTTATCGTGACAAAGTGACAAACAAATGACTTTGAATATCAGTTTGTGCATTGTTGTACATGCACGGAGACAAGACCTGGCGAAAAATGATGACCAGGACAAACGTGTTTACCCCCAAAACCCTGGAAAAAAAGCTCTTTCAAGGTGCGTAACTGCTCACTCCACAGCCATGTTCCATCTTTTGCACTCAGATTTAGCTTTCCCAAAACCTGTCTCCACAAAGAGCTTGTTTGGTTATGTCCCAGAATGATTTGCATGGCAAATACCCTCATCGCTTTCGCAGGTGAAGGAGCTCTCCTCCGGCATGACTTTTTGTGTACCATTCGGATGGAGAAAATCAGGACACGGTTCCTACATCTCATTACAACAGCTCCTGGCTGAAACCAAAGTGCATTTCACTGAAAGACTCTAAGTGACGGCACATTTACCGTGGTCCTCAGCACACTCTTCCCGTCATTAGTTGCTCTTTTTGTTATGAATTTGCATTCCACTTTCATTCAACTTTGCAGATCTCCACTTCCTGCCATTAGCTCTTTTATGAACTTACAATGAGGAATCATGCTGCTGAGCATAATAGCTGCAACGAGCTGCAGCAAAATAATCCCATCAGTGGCGTTTTATATACTATCTAAGCAGTTTTATTGCCAGCGTCTCCCTAGATTTGTGGGACTTCACTGTCACTTGAGAAAAAGAAAAGGGAAAAAAAAAAAAAAAGAAAGAGCAACCCTGAAATGGTTTTAAATTGCTCAATTGAATTCATTAGAGGCAAAAAATAAAAATAGCCTTCGTGAAAAAAAACAACAACTCTTCCAGGATTTTCTTCTCCTTGACAATAAAAAGTATGCTGCCTTAGGCTGTCTCCTGCATACTACGGCTTGGGAGGAATCCTTATCTGTTGGCTGTGTCTGAGGGCTGAGACAGAGGAACATCTCCAGCTCCAGTTGACTACAGCAGTGGTAACTCAGACGTTCTTCCTCGCTGTAAGATGGGGCTCATTTTGATCCGCTCTGCCTATAGGAGATCTATCAAGTCCTTTTTGAACTTCAGTAAAGCCCTTAAGAAGCTTCCCTGACTGGGCATTTCTTAGATAGTCGTCAGTGGCTACAAAGTTTTGGGGAATGAGGACAATTGGGCAACTCATCCGAAGTTCAAATGGGTGTTTGAAGGTGAATACAAAGTTGAACTGGGTGGACAAGCTCACAGTCAGGCTTGAACATCTTTTTCTTTGGTAAAGAACAATCATTCATTCATGGAAAACATGTTATTGACTTCTACAGTAAACCCAAAACACCCCACTTAGCTCTACCCACCTACACTCAGATATCCTCAACCGTTCCTGTGGAGCAGAAGACATTTCACAGATATGCTTTTTCCCTTCCAAACAAACCACTTCCGTTGACTTAGACTATCAAATCCCACTGGCAACCGCATCAATCACTCAGAAAAAAACAAGAAATGAAACATTTGGTGAATTTCTACCTTCATTAACATGGCTTTCCAATACAAAATGCCACAGAAAAAGCACTTTTTTTGGGAACCACAATTTGAGAGCTGTTAAATGAGGAGTCACTACCACGCCGCTGCCCACGACCGCGATTACAAATCCAGGTTTATCGCAGGGACAACTCTTCTGCCTTCCCACACGCGAAGAGAAAGCTGTTTTGGCACTGCTTTGGATGGATAGCCTGTGCATGAATAATACAGTGCTTTCAGTCAGGCTGGGAAAAATCTATATAATACAAAGCAGGGTGAATTTCCTATTTTTGCTCCCGGGAGGAATACAAATAAGGCCTTCTACAGGAAAGTATACTCTAAAATGTTGTTGGGATCAATGCGATTCTGCCGCTCGCTCTAAAACAACAGAAGTTTGTATCAAGAGGGCAGCAAATATATTTAATTGCTTTCTT